CTTGTCTTGCATATGTTGTACTGCATGAAGGGCAGTGGTGCATCCACCTGGAGTGGGGTGGGGGTATATTGCCCCTTGGAGACACATATCAATTTTATTTCAAAGATACCAACAATTTGGAACGGTATACTACCACTGTGCGTTCGATCATGCCTGTAAATGAACAAATGGAAGTTCCTGTGAAAAAGCCAGTTTTGCACATTCCACTTCCCAAGAGCTATCGGTAAAAAAACTGAACCTATACTAGTACTTACCATTTCTCTAAGATGGCTGCTTGTTTAACGTCCTACTCATCAACACGACGTAAAACTAAAATCTGTGTCAGATCAGGAAGTGGGTGCACAGTCACATTAAACTGGGTTTAACTTTCGTCGAACCACCTTGTGTATGAAGCACAATTTTGCCATGACCTAACATACTACTTGGCCCGAAACTGAGTAAAATTTACTCAATTTTGAGTACAACCAACAATGCGTTGATAAACTTCACGAGCAGCGTTAGAAAACTACGCATTTTTGGAATAAGGTTTATAGACACGTTTCATCCATATTTTGTTGTTGTCTAGGTCATGGGTAAAGGCTTTTGGTGTTTAACGCAGTAATTGTGTCCAAATTTAATCAACTTTTACCAAAATTTAAATAACGAAAATTTACACTTTGTATTTAGAGTGTTAGTATACATTTGATTATGTGCAGAGGATTGTGGTTATAAGCTAAGAAGGTACAGTACTTGAGTAAACTTTGGAAAATTAAAATTGTATAGAGCCATTTTTATAAGTTTGTAGGAACTATCGAAGAAATATAATGAAGGGCTCCGGTTCAGTTAATGATTTAAGTTGAATTTTTAAACTCCAAATTATTGGGGTTAACGGAGTTACGGGATTAACGATTATATCACAGGATGCGCTTATTGAGTTGTGAAGATATTTTGCTTGAATAATAGAAATCAAAATGGTGGTTGACTTTGGAATATTTCAAAGCAGAGCATTATTCGTAGATAGCGGGAACTAATGAAGGAATGTCAATTAAGGGCTCCGGATCAGTTAAAGACTTAAGTTGAATTTTTAAACGGAAATGTTTTAAGGTGATGATTTTCATAATAGCATTAGAGTAATGTGCAAACAGCGCTCACAAGATCAAACGTATGGTATGAAATTTTTCGAAAGGGTGTTCGGTTTTAATTTTGTGGTTCGTGTACAGGGTATCCTTTTGTCCTCTTGAGAATGGATGATGGGTCCAAAAGAATTTTGAAAATTGGTTTAACCCTCAAAGTTATTTTGACCTATTTCACAGACTGGTGGATTCCGTTCCCCCAAGAATTCGGCTGTGCCGTGGTCGATTTTTTAAAAACTCAGAACACCCCTCCATCAAGTCAATCAAATAATATGGTTTTGTTGTTAACGGTCGTTTGAAGTTCAAGGTTTTCACGCGTACCATCCCGCGTACATTGAGCACCAAAGTGGAAAGTATACATTTTTGGCTTACCCGTTGCGGAAAAATGCGCATGCGCAAGAACAAAATCTTTGATTTCCACAAAAGTGGTGTCAAAATGACCGCTAAGATTTATTCTAGAAAAAGAGGCGCTGTGATGATATCAGACAAATATGTCAGGGGGTGAGGATTCCGCTTCTGGCTCTGTTAGGGTTGGTGAACGAGATAATTATGCCAAGTGTTCAATTTATGATTGAATTATTTTGATTTAACTTTTATCTCGTAGAATTTTACATAACTAAAATGTATAACTCATCTTGTAAAACTTAACAAAGTATCCTTCGTAAAAACGAACTGCTAAAAAATGTTCTTTACTTTTTTCAGATGCATAGTTCATGGCGCTGATCGGGCCTTTGTAATAACCATCTCAGTTAGCAACTTTATATGTATTTCAACCAGTAACTGTAACTCTAAAGGTGCACTGCGCCTGGTAACCATGTTAAAGACGAAGCCACCTGAAAATCTGCAAAATTAGGTATAAGACGGGATGGCAATGGGTAAAATGATCCAGCTTACCTGCTATGCGGTGACAGAATGAGACTCGCTTATGTTTTCCCTTCGAGCCAGCAGTGTATTGCCAGGATGAACCTTAAATATTCCAAAGTAAGTGCAACCCAGACGACCGGCTAAACATTTATCTGTATTAGTCCAATCTTTCTTAGACTCCTTTTTTCAGAAAACTTTAGTTTTCATGTGTTAAATGACAAAAATAAGCACAGTTTAGTATTTCGTACTACATACTCATCTGTATCAGAAGCCGTACGGCGTAAATTGCTTCAATGAGGCCATATAGGCCTATACCCAGAAGTAAATTTGAATTTTGTCAGAATTACTGTAGCGTGTCTGCATGTAAAGTTAATAGGCCACCAACGAACAAGAATAGATATAATGAACATTCTCCACCCTTTTCAACCGATGAGGGGTGCTTCTGCTCAAGACCAAGGCGGATCCCACAAATACAAATTAACCTGCACCGCATGATACTACCAAGGAATTAGATTTTTATGACACTACAAAAATATATCTAATACATGTAGTTTAATTTTAATAAAGGAGCGGTATGGAAATAGAAAATTCTTTTTAAAAGTGCCAATATTCAAAATTTGAGTACAGTGGCGTGTCTTCGCTCACTGCCCAGCGCTCAAACAGCAGGGCGCTGAAGGGCTGAAGGCTTTGCACTGTGATTGGCTACATTGTGCACGACATGTGACCGCGAGGTTATCACTTCCTGTTAGCGAGGCGTTTTTTTTTTGTTTTTTTTTTTATGGTTTGCCAAATGGCAATGCTTTAGTATGGTCAAAGTGTCGGCTGTATACTAAAAAAAAAAGAAATATGGAGGGGCTGCGTAGAACCGCGATTAGAATATTGACAAGAATATAATATCAAATCAGTGCTCTGGAATATGTGATTACTGAGCTTTCGGTAACTGAGTACCTTCTTCATAATTCCGGGCAAGCAGATTCAGTGAGGAATGAATGCAGAAATATCCACCTTCATTCCCCCGGATGCAGCGTACCAAGTTCGAAAATGACGCACTGCCCCAGTTCCTTACGCCGTACATCGGATGACGCTTTCCGCAGGAGACACTTACGTCACCGAGGAATGTGGCAGCACGCAAAAGTGATGCGCAGCAGTGAGACCAGGTGTTTGTTGGTGCACACTGCGCAAGTGTTCCGCGAAGCGGTCACCAAGGCGACGCTTGGGCTCTCCGATGTTCAGTTTACCACAGTAACCACATGTAATGCAATAAACCACATTACTAGTAATGCACGTGTGATCCCCGCGTATTCTGTGGCTACCGCGGGGCCG